AAGGGATTGCATTTGAAGAAGGAGAAGAAGGGTGGATGTCCAGGTTGTGTAAGTTTAAAGTTTAAACAAATGTCAAAATATTAAATTAAGAAAGACTTTCATTAAAAGCTACGTACTTTTAAAGATATTAAAATAAGAAAGGCCTCGTTCCACTAAAGCCATCGACTAGTTATCGGAAAAACACACGACGCTATAGAACACCTAAAACTCCTGGATATAAATTGAAGATTTTTTAATAAATGGCTGAATTGGTAAGAAATAAGAAAACGCCCCAGAGGTCAAAGCAGGAACAGGAAACCAGATAGATAAGGGCACACCGGGTCTATCATGTGCTCCAGCACATGCTGGACTGATTCTCCCAGTGGCCTGGAATTTTGGTTTTAGTGGCGACCCCAAATCTACACTGTCAGTGAGTGATGAAATAGAACATGAAATTATGGCGGGGGTGGGGGGACCTCCAGCAAAGAAGATGAACCGGGGTGATGCCAGAGGACTTTATTCTAGAGATTTGCTTCATAAGCCAGCACTCACATAATTCCAGGGCCCAATTTCTACATGCTAAACGTCATTTTTCAAGCTGAGTGTTTAGTTTAAAGTGCCCCTGGTTGGTAATGGCCCCAGGCACCTATACGTGTCCAAATAAATGCTGTCTGGAAGACTGTCCTTCCACGCAGAAATAAAAAAACCTGCCACAGATAAAATTCCACCAAATATGAGATTATGATTTTTTAAAAGTCCAAAATCATGCATAGATATAAAGTGCCATGAGCAAGCCAACTGAAGTAATAAAGAATCAGACCGACAGAGATTTGACACAGAGGAATTAGCATCAGAATGTAAAGTAAGATGTTTAACACGTCTGCACACAGAGGAAAATGATAACGTAACAATGGAACAAGACACATCATGAATATCTAGGAAAAATAGAACTAACCAGAATTAGGAACTTAAACATGTTACGGGCAACGTAGACACATACATAGGAAAAATTACTGAATGGGAAGAAACCACCAAGAATGCAGCACAGAGAGTGAGAGAAGTGGAAAAATTATTCATATGCATGGGGATTAAAATGAGAAAGTTCAACAAATATCTATTTCGAGTTCTTTGAGAAGATAATAAAGGTAATAGAAGGGCACATGGGTGGCTCAGTCGGTTGAGTGTCTGACTTCGGCTCAGGTCGTGATCTCGCGGTCCGTGAATTCGAGCCCCGCGTCGGGCTCTGTGCGGACAGCTCAGAACCTGCTTCGGATTCTGTGTTTCCCTCTCTCTCTCTGCCCCTCCCCCAAATAAAATTGAAAAAAACAAATCAATAGGAGAGCAAGGAGCATCTGGGTGGCTCAGTCAGTTAAGTGTTTGGATTCTTGGTTTTGGCTCAGGTCGTGATCTCACGGTTCATGAGACCCAGCCCCACGTCGGGCTGTGTACTGACAGCACAGAACCTGCTTGGGATTCTCTCCCTCTGTCTCTCTGTCTCTCTGTCTCTCTCTCTCACCCTCCCCCACTCATTGGGCTCTCCCTCTGTCTCTCCCTCAAACTAAATAAACATTAAAAAATAAATAAATAGGGGCGCCTGGGTGGCTCAGCTGGTTAAGCGGCCGACTATGGCTCAGGTCATGATCTCGAAGTCCGTGAGTTCGAGCCCCGCATCGGGCTCTGTGCTGACAGCTCGGAACCTGGAGCCTGTTTCAGATTCTGTGTCTCCCTCCCTCTGACCCTCCCGTGTTCATGCTCTGTCTCTCCCTGTCTCAAAAATAAATAAAACGTTAAAAAAATAAATAAATAAACTAAAATAAATAAATAAATAAATAAATAAAACTGAGGGCACATTAAAAAAATAATAAATAAATACGAGAGCACAGTGAAGACATTTGCAAACAAACAGAAATGGGATGAATGTGTTATCACCAACAAACCTTTACAGAAGCAATTTCTCAAAGATGCACCTGAGGAAGAAGGAAAATTATCCCAAGAGGAAGGTATTTCCCAAAAGAAGGAATGTGAAAAAAAGAAAGAAAGAAAGAAGCAAAGAAAGAAAGAAAGAAGCAAACAAAGAAAGAAGCAAAGAAAGAAGAAAGAGAAGAAAGAAAGGAGAAAGAAAGAAAGAAAGAAAGAAGCAAAGAAAGAAGAAAGAAAAAGCAAAGAAAGAAGAAAGAAAAAGAAAGAAAAAGAAAGAAGAAAGAAAGAGAAGAAAGAAAGAAAGAAAGAAGAAAGAAGCAAAGAAAGAATGAAGCAAAGAAAGAAGAAAGAAAGAAAAGCAAAGAAAGAAAGAAAGAAAGAAAGAAAGGTGTGAATAAATCAAAACACGAAGCATTTAAAACAGTTATATTTTACATCTTGAGGAGTTTCTTTAAAAGATGTCCAAAGTACTCGACAACAGTGATATCTGTCAGCAGAAGGATGTTCAGAACGAAAGATTTTGTACTGTTGCAGAGGAGGGCAGGAATTACGGATGGGACACTGCTGGGGGGCACACACCAAGCGGGGAGCCAGGTGTAAGTCCCTCCGGCGGGGAGGTGGGTTTCATCACCTGCATTGTTCAAATTGCCGCAGCGTGACGATAACGACACGCAACAGACTTTTAATCAGTTTTGCTACAGTTTTGAAGTTCTCTGCAGACAGTTCTCCCCCTTACTGCCTGTACCTGAGGCAGCGTGAGCTTAACACACCACTGCTTTGTTTATTTAAGAGCTGCTATTTCAAGTGTAACTAGGAAAGAATTAGACGTAGATTATGCAATTATTATACAGGAGAGAGAAATAAAGCATAGCACATGGAAAAATGGTCACACGAAAGAGTTCGAGAAAGGAGGGGAAAATTGAAGAGCGTGAGGAATAGGGAAAATAGGGCGGTAAAAAATACAAATAGGTTAATTATCGCTAAATAATAAATTAACTCATGGGTTGAACTGCCAACACACAGGAAACAGGAGAAGCAGAAGAACTCATTAAGTGACGTCCAGGGATGTCACCCATAAAACACCAGAGTCTGGGAAAGGACAGGTTTCCAACAAATAAAATGAAGACTGATCATGTCTTGAGAAATTCAGCAATCAATCACGATGTGTGGATCTTCTTTGAAATCTGATTCATACCCAGAAAGTAAAACTATTCTGAGACAAGCAGGGAAATTTGAGCCCTGACTAGACAATATCAAGGAATTGTTAGGGTCCGCCGTTGAGTGTTCGACCCTTGATTTCGGCTCAGGTTATGATTCCTAAATTTAAATTTTTAAATGAAAAAAAGAAAATGAGCATAAAAAAAAAGAAAATTATTTTTTTAATTGTTAATTTTTTAAGTGTGATAATTATTTGTGGTTATGCTTTTGTGCATCTTTATTTTTATTTTTTTAATGTTTATTTTTGAGAGAGAGAGAGAGCGCGCGCGCGCGCGCGCGCGCGCGCGCGCGCGCGTGTGAGTGGGGGAGGGGCAGAGAAGCAGGCCCCAGGGTCTGAGCTGTCAGCACAGAGCCCAACGGGGGTCTCCAACTCCCGAGCTGTGAGATCATGACCTGAGCCAAAGTCAGACACTTAACTGACTAAGCCACCAAGGTGCCCCCGTGCATCCCTATTTTTAAAGATACAAACTGAGGGGCGCCTGGGTGACTCAGTTAAGCGGCCAAGTCTTGATTTTGGCTCGGATCACGATCTCATCTCATCCCAAGAGATGGAACCCTGGGGCTCAGCTCTGACATTGCTGAGCCTGCTTGGGATCCTCTCTCTCTGTCCCTCCCCAGGTTGCAAGCGTGCCCTCTCTTGCTCGCTCTCAAAATAAATAAATATTTTTTAAAAAGATATAAACAAATATTCATTACATGATATGATACTAGATTCAAATTAATCTGTGAGATGAAAAGGTAAGTGGTTGGGGCACTATGGAAGCAAGACTGGCTATGAGCTGATAATTGATGAAACCAGATCACGGATTTATGGGCATTTGTATACTATTCTATCCACTTTTGTGAATGTTTATAATTTTCCAAAAATAAAAGTTAAGTGATTCCAAGCTAGACAGACCAGTAAAAAAAAAAAAAAAAAAAAAAAAAAAAAAAAAAAAAAAGAAAAGAAAAGAAAATGAATAAATAAAGACAATAAAAATATTTTCAGGTTAGATTCTTACAACTATGGTCTATTTACAGAAAACACATCTAAAATGGAAAGACATCTAAAGTTTGGAGTGGGGAGGGAAAATTCATATGATGCAAACAAAAATTTTAAGAGTTAATATAGTTAAATTTTTTAAAAGACAAAGCATAATTAAGTCCTCTTGATCTATATATCTAAGGAGAGTCGTTAAAAATGATCAAAAGTCGGGGCACCTGGGTGCTCAGTCGGTTGAGCATACGATTTTAGCTCAGTTTATGATCCCACGGTTTGTGAGTTTAAGCCCGTCATCAGGCTCTCTGCTGTCAGCAGAGAGCCCACTTGGGATCCTCTGTCCCCCGCCTCTCTCTCTGCCCCTTTCTTGCTGGTTCTCTAAATAAATAAATAAATAAATACTTTTTTAAAAAATGATTCAAGGTTAATGTATTCATTAGTAATATATCTGGGTTCTAAAATTCTACATATCTATTAATATCATTTCAATATTTTGGATAGGAACACTGTCAAGCATGTTACGGTCTAAGAAAAAAATGAACTCCCAATTTCATATACTAAATGTGAATAGAAAAAAAGGAAGAAAAACAAGAAGGAAGTCTATATAGAGTCTGTATAGATGGAGAACTTCAGAACTATGGAAACAGTTGACATTGATTGAATTCTACTATGTGGGTACTTTTCTGTGCACCCTACATGTAATAACTCATCTAATCCTCGCAACAAATGTGTAAATATGGTTATTATTGTAATTTTACAATTTGGAAAACTGAGGCAGAGAGAAGATCCATGATCTGTTTAAAATCTCACAGCTAGTAGTAAAGCATCATTACCTACCTATAGTGTTGAGCATCCATTTTTATATCATTCATGATTTCTCTCTTTTTTTTTTGTCTTCTTTTAGTTTTTAATTTATGGGAGTTATTTCTCTGTTATTGCTGGAATTTTCCTAATGAGAAGCATTTACATAATCTATTCAGCCAAATGCAGACAGGGACGATGTAATTCTACTACTGACCAGAATCCACATGATCCAGAGGACTCCATTTCTGATACGAACACAGTGACGCAGTTTTAGCCTGGTCTCTCCTATCATGGACTCAGAAGACGGACTGTTCCTACATGGCATTTTAATTTTTTGTCCTAGATTAAGACACCGTAAAAGACAGAATTATCATCAACACTACATCAAAACCTCAGCTACGGGCCGGTGAGCAGGGTACAACCAGAAACTGGAGTTGACCAAGTTGAAACCAGCCATCTTTATGGCCTCGGTGAGCAACTGGGATCCTAAGTACTGTTTGAATACTTTAAAGTCCATCCCAAAACAACATGGAAATCAGACAAGTGGGACCATCCAAAAACAGAAACATGAAATATCCCAGAGTTAATGATATATATTAGCTTTCTGTGCCCAACCTCATAAAAGTGTGATTTGTTTTGATCTAGGTAATAAAGAAGTTTCTAGCACAGGCCTGATGCATATTAAATGATCAATACGTGATAACCGGGACTCCTGGGTGACTTGGTCAGTTAAGCATCAGACTCTTGATTTCGGCTCAGGTCATGATCTCAGGGTCATGATATCGAGCCTCACATCAGACTCCCCACTGACGGCGCGAGATCTGCTTAGGATGCTCTCTCTCCGTCTCTCTCTCTCTCTCTCTGCCCCTCCCCCACTCACCTGGGAGCACATGCTCTCTCTCTCTCAAAAAAAATAAAATATGTGATAACCATATTGTATTCATATTGTATACTACCAAAAACGTTAGAATGGGGAAAATAATTTAATTCCCCCAAAAGGAGGCCAAAAAATTAAGGGAAGATTTTTCCTTAAACTTTACCATGACCCTACATGAAAAGACTGAATGTTGTAATGATTTCAGTTCTTCTCAAACTAATTTATAAGTTTGTTGCAATTTGTGACGGTCTTATGTGTCCACTTGACTGGGCCAAGTTTCTCATTGATTCTAATAAACACTAATGGAGGTATTGCCGTGATGTATTTTGCAGATGTGATCAAAGTTCACAATCAGTTGACTTTCAGTAAGGGAGATTATCCCAGATAATCTAGATGGGACCAATCCAATCAGTTGAAAGGCCTTAAGAGAAGAACTGAGCCTTCCCAGAAGAAGGAGAAGTTCCATCTGTGGACAGGAGCTTCGGGTCATGCCTGAGAGTTCTAGCCCACGCGTCCTGATGGCCTGCCCTATGAGTTTTGAACTTAGCCTCATCAGCCCTGACAATCAAGTAAGCCAACTCCTTGAAATACATTTCTTACTAGATATCTCCACTGGTTCGGTTTCTCAGGTTGAATCCTGATTGATACAGATTTTGGTACCAGGAGCGGTTGTAGAGGACACATCTACAAGGCCAACTTTTCTGAACTGCTTCTGGGTTTCCTGGAACTGGGTATCTAATCTAGTTCGGTTTTAAGCCACTATGAATCTGTTTCCGGTCATAAAGAGAGCACTAATAGTCATGGCATGATGTAGTTTTAGACATACAAGTGTCACCATTGGGCCCTCCTAATCAAATACCACATTAGTTTCCTAATGATCTTATAACAAACGGCCACAAATGGAGTGGCATTAAACAACAGGAACTTATTTTCTCAAAGTTATGAAGGCTAGAAGTCTGAAATCAAGGTGTTGGCGAGGTCATACTTGCTCTCTGAAAACTTGGTCTCGGGGAGGGTTCTTCCTTGCCTCTTCCTAGATTTTAGCAGTTGCTGGTGATTCTTAGCCTCCCTTGACTTGTAGACACATCACTCCAGTCTGTTCTTCTGGTGTCACATGATGTTCTCCCTTTGTGTCTGTGTCTCTATGTCCAAAGTCCCCTCTTAGTATAAGGAGACCAATCATGTTGGATTTAGGGTTGACCCTAATAAAGTCACATTAATAGGTTCCAGATGAGCATCAATTTTGGACGGGACAATATTCAGCCCAGTTGAAATACCTATAGGAGGTGAGGTTCTGGATTGCTGTGTATTTGTCAGTTCAGGATGTTTTACTTAACCTGAAGAGAATAATGGAATTGGCAGGCTGCTCCTGGAGCAGTACACAGACACACACACACACACACACACACACACACACACACACGCATATATATTCTCACTGGAGAAAATAAGGGAAAAATAAGGATGACCTCAGGGCTTCAAATTCCCAGCTCAAAGTGCTGCATTAATGACCTGAAAGCTCTAATATCATCCCTGAAACAAATGCAAATCTCCTGCAGCCACAGAGCTGAGATTTCTGATAACCAAACCCAGAGTCTCGTTCTGCAAGTGACTGATTTACAACATAAATTGAATTCCTAACCCTGCAGGGTGTCTTCTGATAAAGTGAGGACACTCGTTGGGAATAAATGAAATCCTGAAAACTGGAATGGAGACGTATGGTCAGATCTCAATAAAGCTGGGGACACCTAGATCTGCCAAGTCTTTGCCCTTAGAGGCTGCCCTTCCACCCCTGCTTAACGAGGGGTCCTATAATGGCAGCTGTTTCAGCAGGCCCCAAAAGGTAAAATACAAAATGTATGGAGAAGCATTACACTCCAAAAGAGACACATGGTTCCCCCAGCTTGTATAGAAACCTAGAAATCTAGATAATATGTGTGGAAATGGACCTTAAGGATGTAGGATCATGGTAGAGGGAACATAAAGTTGGATCAAGCGGAATTTGTTGATATGGGTTGCCAGTTTGGTTGGTTAGCTGAAACATGAAGCCCACCCTAAAGAAGTTGAAATGCCAGAAGTGCCTTGGTGTGCTATAGAGGAAGGTATTCCAAAGCTTAGGCAAAGTATAATATTAGAGTGGATTTATCATGCGGACTTGTTCACCCAACATGGGAAGGTCCAGAAGACACATCTTTTACCATAACTTTGAGAATATATTTGTGAGAGCAGCCCAGCGTTCTAGAACTCTGTGGCTGCTTTGCTCTATGGGTCAGAAATTCCAGTGGGAGCTGCTACCCATGAACTGGGGACACTCAAATACAATGGAGATGATGGGACCCCAGGGTGGCAGGAGCCACATGGAGACATTGAGTTGCTAAAGACAAGATGGGTATGGTTACCATAATGGACAATGGAGCCAAAGCAGTGGTCAGAATAGTCTGCCTCATGGATACTTGTGGTGTTGGCGGGTTGGTATCCCTAGAAAAGAAGTAGATGAACAATTTACCAAATTCTTACTTGATCTGCATGAGCGAAAGTGTTCTAATGAATTTTAAGCAACTTAATATTCAAGAGCAGTCATAATGGAAAATGCTACCATTGCTTCATGATAATTTGGAGTCCGATGTTTTTTAGAGTAAAAAGCTGCCTAAAAGCTAATCCATCCAGGAGTGTCTGGAATTTAAGCCCAAGGTAAATACGCTTGAGGGTAGTAGAAAGAAATCCTTGGGCATAGGAGGCAGGAATTTTCCCAATGGAAAAGTCTTCAAAACCCTTTTCTCGGATTAGTTATCATGTCGAGACAAACAACTTCAGTTTCTACTCTGGGACTCTGTTTTTCTCTGTTGTATACTGAGTGAGCAGCCAACGTCTATCTTGCAATTCACAAATTCTCCCTTTGAGGGTGTCTTATTTTGTTGATTGAGGTTTTATTTCAACTCACGTATCTTTTTATTCCTGAGATTTTGATATCAATCTATACTTACTTTGTTTTTACCTGTATTTTCACTATAAATCCTTTTTTTTTTAAATAGAAGTCATTCTCTTACTTATTGTGTTAAAGATCCAAAAAAATATATAATTTAAAAGACACTGTTAGTTCTACAAAGTCAATTTAATCTGAAATGAATTCATGTTGCAAGCTTATTTTGTTGCCCGTTCTTAATATTAGATATTTTCAAATGTGTGTTAGTTATTCAGCATTATATAACAAGTTAACCCAACCCTTGTGGCTTAAAACACTGCACATTTATTATCTCACAGTTTCTGAGTCCCAGGAATCTGGGCACATCATAGCTGGGTCCTCTACTTCAGGGTCTCTTATAGGCTCCAGTCAAGGTGTTGACCAAGCCGTGGTCATGTCAAGGGGGAAGGATGCTGGCTGGGCCATAATGCATTTCCAAGTTCATGTAATTGTTGGCAGGATTCAGCTCCTCGTGGCTACTGAGCTGAGAGCTTCAATTCTTTGCTGGCTGTTGACTGGAGACTGCCCTCAGTTCCTGGCCATGTGGGTCTTTCCAAGATGTCAGCTTGTTTCATCAGAGAGTGCAAGCCAACAAATCAAGGGTTGGCTTGAAGATGGAAGTCACAGACTGTTGTAACCTAATCAAGGATGTGATATCCTGTCACTTTTGTGGCATTCTCTTCACCTGTACCTAGAGCCAGCACATAATGAAGAGCAGATGATTTCACAAGAGTGTGAACACCAGGAGGCAGGGATCATTGGGCACCATGTTTGAGCCTTCCTACTACAAGGAGGTTTTGCAATTTTGCCAGCTTCCTCTAGGTGAGAGCTGTTTTGCTTCCCCTTTCATTTCTTTTGCTTTCTCTCTCCTTACCCCAACTCTTGCCTTGGCTTTTACCTGTCTAGAAGTTTTCCTAGAATATTTTCCTGCCCCACCTCCAAGCTCCATCCCATAGTGTAGTGGGATATCATAGATTGTTCTCAAGCCTGCAGATAATTTAAGACAATTTGTGACCTTGGGACGAAGTCCATATGTCTTTGATGGATACCAGTTCACAGGCCAGAGCCCCAGGTGGAAAAGAGTCATAGAATTTTTTCAAGACGAAAGGGGCCCCACCCTGGCACAAAATCCCAAAAGTTTGCCTTGCTGTCATCCCCTCTCTACATCGAATATCTGATCTCTGTGATCACATTCCTACTCTCCTCACGCCTACAGCGCGCTTCTAGACCCTGACCCCAGCAAGGTCATGAATGCAGCCTTGCAGTCAGCATTTCCATTCTATGTTTGGTCCACAGAAATAGTTCGCTTGTTTTTGAGCCTAGCTATGTGGTTCATTTATTTTATTAGAACATGTTATCTGCCATAGCTTCCCCCCTACCCTTTCGGGACAGATACATCAATGTGTGAAAATACTGGATCACCGTGATCCAAATT